ATATAATTAAGTTAGATCTAATAATAATTTAGATAAGATCATAAGAATCTGTATAAAAAACACTTACCTGCTGGCAAATGATTCATCAGAGATCTAGTAGACCTAGTCTGCCTAGCCTGCTAGTAAAGTTGCGTTGTAAACACGCGTACTTGTAAGTTGTAACGTTATTATTAGGCCTATACATACGATTGTTAACAACCGGTTCGTGGAGGTCATTAAATTCTAAGAACAGGTTCGCACGAACCGGTGCGAACCGGCTGAATCCCACCACTGCTTATAACTCAAATTATGATAAACTACATGCATTTTCTTGCATTTATTATAATTAAAACCCATTTGCCATTTATTTGCCCAACTCACTAATTGATCTAAATCCATTTGTAAATCAGCAGCATCTTCTTCGCAGCTAGCAACACCCAAGACCTTAATATCATCTGCAAATTTAAGTAATTTATTGAATATTCCTTCTTCTGTGACACTGGTGTAAATCAAAAGAACAAAGGTCCTAAGACTGAGTCCTGAGGTACTTGAGGTAATATAAATGAAAGAAACGAAAATAACAAAAAGAATACGATTTAGTAATTTACAGTTTCGTAATAATGTATTTGAACGCAATAGAAAACGGCAAATATTATAATTACTGTAAATTAAGCTTGGTGGTTTTGGCTGCGGATTCGAAGTCCGGCGGCGCCCAACGCTCTCGTTCAATCGTGGGGGCGTTATAATTGGTGATTAATTCAACTATCCGGTGATAAAGAGTATCCTAAGAGTTGGTGGTGAGTGCTGCTAATGATTTGCCTTCTTTGTGGTCGGATGTTCAAAATTAGAAACGATGATAGATAGTGTTAGCAGCTTTGCCTTAAAAACAAACAAACTATATATCTAACAAATTAAAAATATTATAGGTAATATTTTGCGAATAATGTAGGTTGAAAATTTAAGTTGGAGATTTCTTATTTACTTGGATAGTATTTTTTCTAAGGAAAGCTTGTTATTTACTTACAAACAGAATATGATATACGATACTACATATGCATTTAAACACATAAATATTTTCTAACCAATAAAAAATACGATTGCACTCACAGGTGCAATAAAAATCTAACAGATAGCTGGCGATATTTTTCGTTTTGGTAAATACTAATAGTAGGACTACTTAATATAAGAACAAATATGAAGTCTCTGTTTGTTAATCCAAATTATGGTTGTTTATGTATAATTTTAGTTAACAAGTAGAACCAGATATTCAATAGTTCAAAGCTGATTTAAAAACGTACGACCACTAGTAATAGTAATACGTACAAAATAACGAAAGGGCATTCAACAATACAGTCAATAGTTACTAGAGTAGGACTGATAGTGATACTGTGATAGACCACAGCTACCTTATTTTAATACTGTGTCGTTGATATTAGGTAGGATTAAGTATGGTATTGAAATTAGAATTTAAATGTAATCTGGTTTGTCTTTACTTCTAAGTTCTATTTCGATTAGTTTAAACTGTTCTTGTTACTATATTATAATTTAGAATAAAGTTATACTTGGTCTTTGCAAGATCTATTTAAGTTAAGAAGGAAAACAGGCTAAATAAATAGGGTGATTATAAAGTTTTACATTGACTGAGATTAGGTAAACTACTCATTCACTAGAGTCTAAAGTATTGGAAAAGCAAGGCTTGTAGTTGTTGCTTGATTACTAAAAGTAAAAACAATATGTATAAATGAACAGTAGCCAAAATTATATATTATTCAAACCTTTACCATTTTAATGTTAAAAATATTGTGTTTTTTTTCACTTCTGGTATATAATGCTCTTTTCATAATTGCTCATTATACACGTAATATTTTATAGCTGGTGAAGTGGTGTGAACTACAATGAATAATCAACACCTGATCCCTAAGTATCCCACATCACTTCTGACAGACACAAACAATCATCTTCTAGAGACTTCAGCTTCAAAAACGTTAAAATTGCCATGTATTGGCTCTCCTGTAACTTTGAGTCTGCTCAGTTCCAAGCCAAAGATTTGCTCAGAACAGCTTCTTAAATCCCACTTGAATCTAGGAGAGGAAAACCATTTTAACCTTCTTGCAAAAGGACCTAATTTAGTAAAGAACAATCTTTTATATGGTGTCAAAAGGTATGTCATGTAAATGCATATATAATTTTTTTACAGCAAACATATGATATAATAAAACAGATATCTTTATCAGAGAAAAAGTATGTCTTACCATTTCATAATTATTGTGCCTAAAGATGTTAAAAGTTTTATTGAATAGGATAGCATATCTTATGGATTTGTAGGAATTAGGAGTTTATGTTCCATCATGAACAAAAATGTGCACTTCCCCCCAAGGATTTAGTAGTCAACACTTCCTTTATAGTTTTATTTCTAATGGAGGGCATACCTTAGTGATATAATCATACGAATGGAGTTCTATAGTAGCAAATCTGGTTTTGCATTTATATCTCTGTCAGGTCATTAAAGGCAAAAGGAAAAATGTTAATTCATTCATTGTCCTGGAAGCATAAATGTGGAACACATTACATAACTTTTGTTTGAGTATTTCACGTAATACTTCTTGCAGTATGAGAACAAAATCATCTGTGAAGTATTTAAGCCAATCATCTCTTTCAAAAATCATGTTGATATCACAATAATAAACGAGATATTAGTAACTGTAAAGCTTGTTTTTGTGTATATCTAAAGATAAGCCTGGCACTGGTAGAGGTATTTATATTTAAATGTTTTTGTTTGTTTCGGGTTCTTGTGCAAAGCTTTAGAAGGGCTATCTGCATTTTTTTTTCATTCACAAGGAACATATTTTATTTTAACTTTAAAAGAGGGTTTGTTTATGTGGTGCACGTATTAATTCAGTAAGAATATTTTAACTGATACACTAGCATGTGATCTAGACATGGTAGAATGATTAGTAAGTCAGAACGTGAATCCTATGGTCTATGATTCGCATCTCATTACTGCAAAATCACATTCAGCACTTTGGGGCCATCGATGCATTGTAAAAGTGATGGTCAAATCCCATTATTTGATGAGAGTAACCCAAGAGTTGGTGATGGGTGCTATTAACTAATAGCCTTTCCTCTAGTCTATCATTTCAAAATATGGCTAGCATTTTTCTCAGTGTTGAAAAATGGATACAGTTATGATATAATTTTAAAAACAATACAAAGAAAAATTCTTCACATCTCATTTATAGTAAGAGTAAGGAATACAAGTATTTTATTCACCTGCATTACTAAATTGTTCGAAGATTTACTTTGAATAATCCTGCTCACTTGGATGTTTTATAGCATTATCAAATTTTTGCAACTACAAAGTGTTATAAAAATAACTCGGGCTACACACACGTACATACACCATTCACCATAAGGAATATTGATGTACAGTATCAATATCCAAGTAGTTTTGTAGGATTTTTAATTTTATATTTCTTGCTTTTAGTTTCTTATACAGATATATCTATATATATATGTGTGAAAAAACCCAGGAAACTGCAAATATGATAAAATAAAGAAATTTGACTTTTGGGGATAAATCACCTTACAAATTTTTAGTTTTATTTGGCAATTTTTCAAGCCAAAACAAACATGTAAGTTAATGACGAATTACCACAGGATGTTCTGAAAGGAATACGATACACAAGAAAAAAAATGTTGAATAAGGTAGAAACGAGAAGTTATAAAAAGTATAATAATGTCAATATAACAATGAAAATAGTAATGAGCTGTTGATTAAAACTAAGGAAATAAAAGATTACGAAAACATATATAAAACACAGTTAATATGAAAAACATAGAAAAATAATTTTTTTAAATTTATGAGAAGCTGAAAAAATTCACTAATATCAGAAGTATTTATACATCCTAATTTATAAATTATTTCCTGATTCTTTGAGTGGTATTTGAGAGGGCATATCATGAGTCAATCATCATAAAATACTCAATAGGATGATCAACTTTAAGTGTCGAACTACAGATATATCTTGACCTTATAATGAAATATTACATAAATGTTTTCATGTGCATTCAGTGAGCATACTGGTCTTTAAGTTTGGTCATTGTTGTCATGGATAATACAATAAATTAAACATTGTATGTATCTCTATATTGAGTTTTTTTTGTGCAGTTGAGTTCCCAAGATATTAATCATGGTCACAGTATTTCTACATTCACTGCATTTTTTTGGTAGCCCGAAGAATGTTAAATGCAGTGATACCAGTATCAAACTAGAAGGAAAGAAAAGGCTTGTTGGAAAACAATTACATAGTACTAACTTCTCCCTGCGAAACAGACAGCTTTCTGATAGTAAGTGTAAATATAGGTTACTTTACATGTACAGTTACAAGTAAATCTTGTTTTATGAATTACCCATTATGTGTTTGTGTAGATATATATACACACACACACACACACACATTTTTTTCTAATATCATATTGTTATCAGAGGTTAAAAGTAATCTTTATTTATTTTGCAGTGTTGTATGTATGCATAGCATATACACTCAGGCTTTTAGAATAAAAATATGACAAAATATTACAATAAAAATCCCCATTTTTTATTTCAAAATATACATAAAATGGTTCTAGCAAGAAGAAACTTAGGAACAGCACTTAAACTACACTTGTTTTTTTTGCTGATAAGGTTCTTCAATAAATGTCAGAGTTCATAAGAGAGAGGTAGGATTAGGGCACTCAATGTCTTTGTGAAATGCTATTTGTACAATTATTTTATATTAACTTGCATGGTGCTGAATGGTAAAGCTTCTAAAGCATTAATTCATTCACTCTAAAGAAGAAAGAGTCTGGATTGTGAAAACATAAAATTTTGAATGCTTACTCATACTATTAAATCTGAAGGAATGTTTGTAAATCTTTTGAAACAGCTTCTCAAAAAAAAAAGACAAATTGGTATATGTTTTCATCACTGAATTGTGCTCAAATATTTTGTTTAAAACTAATTGTTTGTGGCATAATGGAAACAAACACATTGAGAGCAGTTTCTCATTAGTGATAATTACTTAATACCAAATACAATTATCATAGCATAAATTGTGTTTTGTATCAGAAGTTACTTAGTTGGAACCTATAGGTTTTAGTATGTTATAGCATAGTCTGTGAATTTCTTTTGTATTTATCTCATTGTGATAAAGTATTAAAGTATTTGTGTATTAAAAATGCAAAAAAGCTACAAGTAGTTGTCAACTTGTATGAGTGTATAGTATGTGATGTGACCTGTGTTGTATTTTCACATTTTTATTTCTTTGAGATGAAGTTATATCATAAATTTATGCTATAAGTTTCAAAAATGTATGACTGCTGTTTATGTTAAGTAAAATCCAAGGTTTCTTGTGTAGTAATACATAAAGAACGTTAAATTTCTTAGTAGAAATAAATATAGGTGGTTTAATCAGAACAGAAAATAGGGTAAAATCATAAACAATATTCTACGTTAAACTGGTACACAATTAAAAACATTTTATTTAGGCCTATCTATGGCCTTCAAAAAGTTGACGACTCTACATGTTTTGACGTTACAATGTCATCCTAAATCATTTAGGCATTACAAGAATCTCCAACACCTGTAAAAGAAGAGATGACTCAGAGCTGACCAGAGAAGAAGTACACGACTCCTTCAGGGATGATATTGAGAAAGAAATTAGTGACGTTGCCACTAAAAGTCAGGATGATGACAGAGGAATACATCTGCTTGAACAAAATATGCCAGTATATAATTTCAAAACACTGGTTCTGGAGCAACCTGAACTAGAGAAATTTCCTGATATTGAAAAAGACATTGTCTTGATCTCTAGACAACAAGCATTTTTCAAGGATACATTAAAGGTATTGTACATAAATGCATTTTTTTTTATAACCTGCATGATTGATTTAAACAATATTTGGCAAAAATATTAGGTGTTAGCCAGATTTGTTTTTTTTTGTGTTTAGGGGTGGGGTGTGTAGCTCAAATCACTGTTTAACTTCTAAGGTCAATAATCTTTGTTGTATAGTATTCTTTGATTGTTTCAAAAATAGTTTTAAAATTTTGATCAAAAACTTAAAGCAACATGCAAGAAATTCTTGGTGGGGTTTATAAAATCTGTTAGGTTTTACTGTCAGAACATTTTAACCTAAATAGCGATCAACCCCTCACAAATAGCTGAAATAAACTAAAGAATAGTATTTATATGGGGTAAGAGTGTCAGTATCTAAAATCTAGGTTTATGAATAATTTTTTGTTTGTTTTCACAAACAATATGTTAGATTGTATATATCGGTTCAAACTGGTTGATGATGTATCCTGAGGATTCTAAAATTCCAAACTTTAGCAGATATATGGCTTGTTTGTTTTGCATATTCAGGCAAAAATCACAAAGGCAGTCTGTGATAGATCTCCCCAGTTCTGAACTGATAGATTAAAGTAGCCCTTCCATTGATCTGCAAAAACAAGAAGTCCGGGCCTACCAGAGCATCAACCTTGGAATTCTCATCGAAAAACTTAAGTCTCAGAATACAGTAATCGTTCAAATTTTTTCCATTGCATGCTCTAAATCAGGTCATTTGGGTTAGATGTCTCTGTGTGCAGTGTTGCTCGGGGCATGTCTAAGAAGTGTTACAAACAGTGCCAACATATTCCAAATATTTTGAAGAGTTACTACAATAGCCAAGTGAACATATAATGTCTCACTACATTGATGACAGAGATTGGATATCCAAGAATGCACTTTACTCTTACAAGTGAATTACATCAAAATTTTACTTAACATAACATAATATTTTGGAACAACATGGGACCCGTTGGTCCATCTCGGCTGTTCCATCTTCAAAACTAAATTAAAATGATTAACAAAAATAAAAAAAAATTTAAACCCAGTTTTTGTCATTCATATACTTATCAAGCTTTTTCTTAAACTTACTTAAATTACTGCAACATCTGAAGGCAACTCATTCCAAAGGCCAACCACCCTGTTAGACAAATAAAACTGTCTTAGCTGGAGATGACTCCTACCTTGCCAAAATTTATACTTGTGTCCCCTAGTTCTACTATTCTCATTATTAAATATAAAAAAAGATGATACATCAACACTATCAATTCCCTTTACAATCTTAAACACCTCAATCAGATCCCCTCTAACTCTTCTTTTTCCAAGAGTAAACAATTTGAG